ACTTGGTGCGGTGCATGGTGTTGTGGAGTCCTTATTCAGAAGGTACACTGAAAATGGCATGAGTGAGGATCTTGCTTACAGGAACACTGTGGAGAGTATTACAGGAATAATATCTAAGACCATATCAACAAAGGTCAGGCTTTGGGCGTTATTTCTTTTCCATCCTTCTTTCACGTCTATTTTTTATCTAGCTTGTTCATCTTAATGATATTTGGTTTTATTTTACTGAATCCTTTCCATTTTTGTTTCCGAATGTTTTTTTTTTTACTGAATCCTTTAACGAATACTTGGATAGGGCATGCTGGCCGTCTATAATGCACTAAGTGAAGATGGAAAGAAAGAATTCGAAGCAGCTTATAGTGCTTCTTATTATCCATGTATGGATATCCTATATGAGTGCTATGAAGATGTTGCCAGTGGCAGTGAGATAAGGAGTGTTGTCCTTGCTGGCCGTCGTTTTTATGTATGCTACTCTGTATTATTAGTCATTTGATCTCATGAATGTCGAATTTCTTTGTAATGATATATTTGCTTCATGCAGGAAAAGGAAGGTTTGCCAGCTTTCCCAATGGGCAAAATTGATCAGACACGAATGTGGAAAGTAGGTGAACGAGTTCGAGCGACACGTCCCGCTGGTGACTTGGGACCTCTGTACCCTTTCACTGCAGGGGTTTTTGTGGCCCTAATGATGGCCCAGGTGAGCTGTTTTCCTACTTATATTTCTTGTTGACTAGCACAATTTCTCGAGTCTCGAGTCAAAAGGCAGTGTATTTAGTGCACACAAAGTGGTACTTTTTGTTATATACTTTTCAGATGCAAAATTCAGACATGTCTGATTTTTATGTATAACAGCACATTTTCCAGTTTGCCTAAATGGTTCTTGAAGGATTTGAAAATTTTATTTTGTCTGTTTTAGTTCAAGAATGTAGGAATGAATATCAAGATATCAAAAATATTAGGAGCATTGTAATTGGCGAAGAATTAAAAATTAGGGTATGGTGACACTCCCACCCTGTTTTACTGTTGCAAGTCGCAACTAAGGATGCAGTTGTTTTTTAGTTTTTACCAAAACTTTTGGCCATTGGGACCTGTCAGTGTTATTAAATAGTGGCCACGGCAGTAGGACGTGGTGGATTTTATTAGCCTTCCCACAATATTGTGGCGGCTTTGCAATGACTGCTTCATAGCGGTCTCTATGAGCGTGGAGGCCATAGAGGCGTGGCCTGATGAGGAAAATTGCTGATTCCTCCCAGATTCAGCCCAGAAAAATATAAAAAGCAAGTAGACTCGGGCCAAATTTTGCCAACATCAACCCAGATCTATGATAGATCTGCACCTAGAAAAATAAGAAAACCTTGATTGCTGGGAGAAAGATGAAAGAAAAGAGCCACCCTTCCTCCAGACTTCGGACCATTATTTCTCTTTTTCTTTCTTTCTTTTTCCTTTTCCCTGTTCACTGCATGTTTTCTTTTACCCTACCCCTTCCCACTATTTTTTCATTTCTTTTTGCACTTCAGAATTTCTGGATCGTCTTTTGGCTGCCTTTATGAATTAGTAAAAAGCAGCTCATTTTTTCTTTGGTGCCCTTTAGTTTTTCAGCTTTTTATTTATTTGTTTCAATTGTCAGCCTTTTCTTTTCTTAAGGTCTTCATTTATTTTCTTTTGACTTTCAGGTATTCCTTGTGTAATTAATGTTATGTTTATATATTTATCATCATGTTTTATGCTTTTATTATGATGTCATACATGTACATATATACCAGTGTAAATATATAAAAATATATTTTTGGGGTCCATTGCTTTCCATCCATCATTTATAAGGGTGCTTTTTGGGTCACTGCAATCCGGCATTGATAACACTCCTCTCATAGTGAATCAAGTGTTGATGAATCTTTGATTTCTTTACTTGGGTTGCAGATTGAGATTTTGAGGAAGAAGGGCCACTCTTACTCGGAGATTATAAACGAGAGCGTGATTGAGTCTGTGGATTCGTTGAATCCATTCATGCATGCCCGAGGTGTTTCCTTTATGGTCGACAACTGTTCCACAACGGCCCGACTGGGATCAAGGAAGTGGGCCCCAAGATTTGACTACATTCTCACCCAGCAGGCTCTGGTTGCCGTGGATAATGCTGCTCCTATCAATCGGGATCTCATCAGCAACTTCCTTTCAGATCCTGTGCATGGGGCCATTGAAGTATGTGCCGAGCTGAGGCCAACCGTCGATATCTCTGTGCCCCCGGATGCCGATTTTGTCCGTCCGGAGCTCAGACAATCTGGCAACTGAGAGGGGGTTGAGCCCCTCTGTGCTGTAGGCTTCGAGTTCTAGTTGGGTTATGTTTTGCTTGTAGAATTATGTGGATGTAATTTGCGACCTTGTCGACAGTGAGTTTTCTGTTAGTTTGGTGTTGTGTGGACCTTTGGGTTGTCGAACGAGTTCATATTTCATGCTATGAGGAGATATTCATATCGTCGGCAACAAAGAAATAAAAGAAAATGTGATGGTTGTCTTATCAACTGTGGTGTAGCGTTGTTTGACATTTGTGGCTAGCAGATCAACGAAGTTGCCCTTTGAATTGTAAAAGCTTACAGGCCAGGATAAAGAAGACGTGCTGATAAACTGGCACATGCGCCACTTAATTTGAGGACACTAATATAAAGAGGGAAAGGTGCAGCATAGGCTCGTATGGACACGGCCAAATTCTGGGTTCGAGTTGAGGTTCGGAGGGCCCTAAGCCAGCCCAGATATATGCACACACAGTTCATTGAACGCCGGTTTTGGGCTGGTTCATGAACCAGTGGACTGGCCGGGTTTATTTAAAAAAAATTAAAAAAAATAAAAAATGCAAAAAAAAAAAAAAATATAGTAATAAAATAATAAGTGTAAGTTTCGAACCAGTTTCTATATATAAGCTCGCCTATATTTCTAGAAATAGCAAGTTCATAATTATGCCGAGTTAATTAAAGTCCTAATTTTAAGCCTGTAGCAATCGTTTGAATTTTATTTCGAAAACAGAATAAAATTTTAAGTTTATGTCTCGATTTGTAATTTTAATCGAGTATTAGAAAAATTGAAAATTTATTAAATTTCTGAGCCGAGCCGAATCTCGACCCAATTATTTTTCGAGCAAGTGAATAATATTTTTTTGGTCAAATATTTAGCCCAAAATCAAATTATATTATAACAATTGACCCAAGTAGTATTTAATGTACAAGCTCAAGTCCAATTTTTAGAGCCCAAGTCAAATAAAATTTCGAATCCCAAACTTGAAGCCCAACACACACACCAATTCGCCGTCCTTCCGTACGCCGGCATTCCGTACGCCACAGTAGTAGCGAGCCCGCAAGTCCGTCGTTCCCCCGCAGCAGCGCGCACCTTCTCCCGCGACGCGCCCAGAACTGAGCTCAGTCAACCTACGAGAGTCCAGATCCACCTCCGTACCGAGGAGCCGTACGGAGTAAATTTTTCGCACTATAATAGGAAAGCACTGATTACATTTTTGAAACTTTAATAATTTTTACAAAAATACTTTAACTTTAATTCGCGGGATGGTACTAAACTTTAATTTATTCTCTTTAATTTGCTATGCATGCAATCAAGTAAAATTCATTATAGAATTATGGCCATGAAAATTACTGGAATTACACATGCATTCTAAAATACTCAAATACTGAAATGCTGGTATGAAATTATGAAATACTGGAATACTGAAATACTGTTCTTAAATTCTAAAACATAGTTCTGGAATGCAGAAGCAAATATAAGTTCAGATAACACATACAAGCATCAATAAACATGCAACGACAAAAGACAAACACTTCAAACATGTTCAAATACTATAAGACATGTTCACTCAAAATATCCTTGCTGATGACCACCACCACAACTGGCTCACGCTCCACGCGGGACTCCATCGCCTGAAAAATAGTTAATGGAGAGGCGTGAGCATAAAAGAATCAACGATGCTCCACCGGAGCCGACATTGAATATTCAACACATTAATAACAAATTATGAAATCAACATATATATAAAAGCTGGTCTAACTAAGGGACTGACGGTAAACCGGTACTCATGTGCACACTCTGGGAGTCCCCTCCCACAGAAATTCAGGAAAGACACTAATCATCCCATATGGACGCTAGACTTAGGACAGACCCTAATCACACACATCCAAGTCATAACTGAAATACTGAAAAATTGACCAAGACGGGCTCACTCATCTGCCTCGATCCTTCAATTTAATCACATATAGACCTCAGACATTATAAATAATTAAAAGCAACGAGATAAACATTACAGTAGTCCCCACTTGGAAGCTGGTGAATGCAAATGCTGAAAATGCCAAAATATCTGAACTATATGGTAGCTAGGTGGAGGTTCAACTCTCCTCAAGCTACAAAATTATGAGCGAAATATTCTAAGTACTGGGCTCAGAATAAAATTCAAATTTTATTATCTGATCTGTCTAGGTTCGCTCACCCGACTTTAAAAATCATTTTAGGATTAACGAGCTGATATTGAAAATATTATTGTCTTTGAGGCATACTAGAGTTTTATGAAATATTTTTAAGTTTCGACTATTAGTGTTATATACTGAAAATTTGGTTTTGGATGATATTACACATTTTTACCCTTTATGAATGAGAATCATGTTAGATTAAACAAGTTCTATGTTCTGTTGTTTTGCACGTAGATAGAACAGATCGTCATCGGACGAACCAAAGATCATTCTATCAATCACTTGCGAAACAAGAATTGAGGTTCACAACCTAGATGGAAATGAACACCCCATCTGAACGGTTGTAGTGTCAACGGTACAATTTTTCTTGACTGATTAGTTGCACTAGTACATTTATGTATTGAACAGGACCCAGAGAGGGGAAGTTAGTTTTATACTGATCGTCGTAAACGAACTAGGGCTCGGTGTAAATATTTCAGAGAGGACAAATGTAATTATACTGATCTTTCCCCTGATTCAAAGAATGACCTCAGGCTTAAAAATGTTTGTCCACAAAAGACCTCACCTTTTTCGGTGCAAGATGATCCTCGTACGCCCCCCAAAGGATCTGGTTTAGTTATGAACAACGATCCTTTATAAACTAACTACCAAGAAGACTCATTATGTGGACCTTCAAACTGAAATAAACCCATATCTAACTGCTCCTAATATCCCTCCGAACGATCGACATCCACGATCAATGAGATCCTTAGAATATGTGTTTTTTCTTGATCTTTAATGATCCTTAAAATACATCTTTCCCACCTACAATACCAAGTACTCTCATAAATACTTTATATCTTCTGGACAAAACCATTCCAGATTTCCAAAAAAGAAAAAAAAAAAAAAACAAATTCCTTCTTATACCCTACTAACTACTCTCAAAAAACAAAAAATCCTCTAAACCCAGGCAAAACAATAAAAACCCACTCACGGTCGGCAAAGTCGTAAACCCGTTCACAAATACTCGCTGTCGACAAATCAGTAAACCCCATCACAGTTGGTAAAGCCATAAACCTGTTCACAAATACTCGCGATCGGAAAAGCCGTAACCCACTCCCAGTAGGCAAAATCATAAAACCAGCTTACAAAATACTTGCGGTCGGGAAAGTCATAAACCCATTCATGGTCGGCAAAGTCATAAACCCGTTCACAAATACTCTTGGTCGGCAAAGCCGTAAAACCCACTTACAAAATACTCTCGGTCGGCAAAGCCGTAAACCCACTCGCGGTAGAAAAAGCTACAAAACCTATTTGCGAAATACTTACGGTCAGTAAAGCCGTAAACCCACTCACGACCAGCAAAGTCGTGAACCCGTTCACAAATACTCGTGGTCGGTAAAGCGGTACATCTGCTTGGGGTTAGAAAAATCGTAAAAACACATTTGAAAATAAAAAACCCATATAAACTTGCACGGTAACTTTAGAAAATTCCTTCGCGGTTGCACCAGTCTTTAGCCGACAAAAAATCCGACGATTTAAAAAACTTTATGCCAATCACAAAGCAACAAAGTATTTCAAATGCATAATCTTTCAAAATAAGTACTTCATTAACAAAAAATATTTCTTAAGCCATAAGCTTGCTATAAATCTACCAAACTACTAAAACAATTTCAAAAGGCCACACACCAGCAAAAAAATACCATAAACATTACTTATGATTATTGTAGGTATCTTACGAATCGACAGAACCCCTACCACTACTAGATTCATCTCCTAGTGAGGTTGGAGCCCTCTCATTTGAATGAGTCATCTTCCCAGAGGAAATCCGCAACACCATTGCTAAGCTAGGGTCCAATCATGATATCAGTTGTGCTTCAGCTAGGGCATCACCATGTTCCTTCATCACCACTAGCACATCCTAGTCTGGCTTGCTATCTTCACCAAAGGTCAACTCCAGGCAATCCTTCTTACAAGCATACACATGCTTGATAATGTTCAGATCTTGGCCTCTCTTTAAGATCTTCAATACCAAATTGAATGGCTCCTGACCGCTCTGCTTTCGGGAAACTGATGACCTCGACAACCTCAAACCCTTCGCCCATCTTTTTGCCGATTTCTATTCCATTTCCTTCACCCCTCTTGAAGCCTTTGGCATACCCTACCTCATTTCCCTCTAAAAGGAAAAATTATTTTTCCTGCTCCAGACCGACCGCTAGGCCTTCATCAAACTGTTTGGCCCCACGTTCGACTATCTTCTCTACCTCGGCCATCCCCTCCTTGATCTCTTGGCGAGTAATACCTAGTATCTCATTTAGACAATACATCTCTGTGTTGTGGTTGTTCTTCAATATCTCCATCTCTTTTTCTTCGCCTCGAGGCAGCACTCATGTAGAGCCCGTATGTCCTCAATATCTGACTTCAGGCGATCCCAGTTTACCTTGAGAACCACAAGTTTCTCATAAGTCATTTTACACAAATCACTTACCTGGTTCAGTCGATCTGCCAAAAAAGACTGGCGATCCTCACAACGGTCGTTGTAACGCCCCACTTTGATTTTAAAGAAATCTTGTGCTTTCCCAAAATCAGTAAAATATTTTTCGAACTCATTTTTGAAAACATGGGCATTTTTCATAATGTTTACATCGACCAAGTCATATCTGGTCGCACGGGGTTTCATTACCCGATTTTCACATGGTTTACATTAACCGATTCACAACATAACTCACATGTTATTCAACTCAAAACACAATAACATGAATAAACAAGGCAACATGATTAGAGATGTTAAATGGTCATTGGCCCGACGGGCCGGCCCGTTTAGCCCGGAAAAAAACAAGGTTAGGG